AGTGTAGGCACCTAAAGCACTTGCTTTTTTTTTTGTTTTTGGGTGGTTAGAGGCCTCCAATTTTGTATAGATTGATTGTCTTATTTGGTGAATAAACGATACAGGGACGGGTGGCAGTGTTGTAATAAGCAGCTCCTAACCGTTCCTGGTTTTTGAACAGGAAAATAAAAAGGTACCTAAAGCATAATATGCACCGTGGAATGTGGATATTGTTCTGTAATTTTATCGCGCATAAATGACATTATGGTCGTTGGTGTACGGCAGGGATCGGCAACCAGCGGCCCGCATAGCAATTTTATGCGGCCCGTGATAATAATTTATAGTTAAAACATATTATACAACACGTAAATCTTTGCTGATAAAAATTGGCATTTCTCACGAGAAATTAGTTGTACAATTATTGAACAAAAATAGATATTATGTATAGAAACATTGTACAMGTTATTTACGTTTCGTTAAACATCGATAATAATTTATTATACAAAACGAAATACGACTTAGTATTACTGAATCGATTTTCTAGCGTACACTGTACGGTTTAAAATAATTAGTATTAGTTAACAGTCCAATGCACAAACTATACAAATATGTTAAGAGAGAAAYGTAGAATTAAAAACTATTGAAATGCATTTTAAATATTTAATCAACTTTAAAAAACAGTGATCACTATCTAATAATGACGAAAGGTCAAGCTTTGAGAATCGAAACTCCAGAATCGTTGGTCTWCTTTCAGAGAAGAGAATAATTTATCTTTATAGATGTCTATCAATGGCCCTACTGGCTTTTGAATTTTAAACTATTGGTAAAAGAGCGGTTTCTAGATCACATATTTTTAGTATAATAATATAATAGGTATTATATTATGCAATAAATATTAGTTGTAAATGGACAATGATCATCACCGGCTGTTAACCTAAACAGTAACTACGAGTCTACGAATACCCACGGTCTTATATACAGTAAATTATAAGACCGTGCGAATACCCAACGAATCAAGTGCTTCCCGATTTTMAATCGACCCTTCTGCACGCTACATGCTTACATTATAATATTATATTGTATTATACTGAGCCAAATGACGATTAGGGTCTTTTGTTTTTKAAATGGCGCGATGGCGTCCTGGCCGTCCAATCGATGGCGAACAACTGGTCGGCATGGCGTGCCGTAAAGTTATCGGCTTGACGTTCGTCCTTATCTGTTTCTCTCTATAATCTCCTTATCTTTAATATTATTATTCAGCTGTTACGGGTTGTTGGCGGGGATGGGGTGAGGGTAGTGGAGCCACAACGTCCGCATATAAATCACTCGCGGTGCAAGGTCCTCGGCGATTAAAACTACCTACACGTGTGCAAATAATACACACACACATATATATATATTATCAGAGTATTATTATCATAGTATAATATTATAATATAATTATTATTATTATTATCGTAATATATTATACACTCTGACCTKAAGGGTGCAGTAGTGTTCATGACCAAAAGCAATCACGGTAAAAAAAAAAACCAGGAGACTTCAGTGTATACCTATAATATAAATAATGTGTAAGATATACCTCCCCGCTAATACATTATCACCATCWACCCTTTGCTTGCTTGTATTTGTATTATTATTCTTATCACCATAAAGCGTATATTATTACCTACGTATCGACTTACATAATATTATACCATTGTAAGGAGATACGCTCAAGGAAATGATAACGAGTACATTACAGTAAAATAATTATTATTTTTGTTTTGCGCAGATACTAGGAAACAAGATTCGGAGCAACAGGGACCATAAGTTCGTCAACTACTGGACGCCCAGCGATTTTGTCAAAAGCTGTTTGTTTTGGCACAACTTCTACAGGCACTTTCATAGGTCGACAGAGTTGGTCTTGAGTCCACACGTGAGTCGTTTGTGTTGGTAGGTCGGTTGAGACGCGTTAACGT